GGTATGCATAACAACAATAATAATAACTGCAACAACAACAAAAATAGTAATACTAATGATAATCATAAAAATAACAATAACAATAACGATAATATCGATGATGATGATGATACCAAAAATAGTAATAATAATAAGTTATACATCATTGCAATAATGATAATAATAATCATCATACTAAAAGTAATATGAGACAGCAAAATCAATTTTGTAATGCTAATAGTAATAAAAAAGAGCACATTGAAAGACATAACCTACGATAAAAGTAAAAATATAAAAATAATAATGATAACAAAAAATTGAAATCATAATCATAATAACAATCATAATAATCGTCATCATTGTCATAACAATAATGATAATAATGATAATAATAATAATAATGATAATAATAATAATAGATAATAATAATAATAATGATAATAATAATAATAATAATAATAATAATAATAATAATAATAATAATAATAATAATAATAAGTAATGATAAAAAAACAGTGCTGATGATGATAATGATAATAATAATGACAAAAATGGTAATAATGATGATGAAACAATTATAGTAATAATAATAACAATAATAATAATGATAGTAACAATAATAATGATAATAACAATAATAATAATAATAATGATAATGATAATAACAATAATAATGATAATAAGAATAACAGAAAAAGCAATGACAGTAACTACAACATTAATACTAATAAAATAATTAGCAAAAACAAAACAAAAACAAAATTATGAAATCACCTTCATAGGACCATTATGGCATCTTGCAAGGTATGTGAAAACTTATGTACGAGATAAAAAGCATTATAACCTGCATATTACATTCAATATAACCTTAGAATCTTGTACATTTATCATAATCAGGGAGTATATTTCATGTGAAAAAATATGCTTAATTTTGCCATTTGACTGTATAATGAGGATTAAATTAGCAAAAAAAAAAAAAAAAAAAAAAAAAAAAAAAAAAATCTGTCAGTTTCTCTAGTCATTTTACTTCTCAAATCTTACCTTAACTACATCAGTATATTCATAGCTACATTTTAAAAAGCAAGCTTTTGTCATAGTTAAAACCAACTTTGTTCTTGAAGCAGATAATTACATTTTAATGATATAAATAAATTTAATAAATATAGACAAATTTTCCATAATCCTGAACTGAATTACGAAAATGTTATGAATTCATTCACATGACCAATACTATCTTTTATAATTCCAAAATTACAAATTTCCAAATTCTATCTTGATTCATTATATCAAAAAATTATGAAAATGTGTAACTGTTATTAATAATCTTAATGTACGTAACCAGGGTTTTGTACGATAATGCCATGTGTCAAATACACGTGTCCTCTAATGCCTGTAAGAAAGCTTTATTATTTATCAAATGTATCCTTTCTGTAAACCCATTCGTCTATACAACCATCAACCCCAACCCTTTAGGAACTCAACCTCAAGCAAAAATTCATAATCTGTGGAAGAGACATACTTCAAACTATAGACAACCACTGGAGACTGGCAAGATCCCTTCTGATTTAGGAAAATAGCACCATAAATTTCAATGACATCAACATTCCTTTACAAAGAAAACAGAAAACCAGAGAGAAAAAGGAAATTTAGAAAGAAATGAAGAAAGGAAAGAAATAGAAAAAAATGCTTATTTTTGCTGCTTCTTGAAATTCTTATCACTTTTCCACTCACAAAAAAGAGTAGCTGTGTAAAGAACTGTGTATATTGAGAGGGAGAGAGGGAGAGAGGGGAGAGAGGGAGAGAGAGGGGAGAGAGGGAGAGAGGGGAAGAGAGGGGGGGGAGAGGGGGGGGGGGAGAGAGAGAGAGAGAGAGAGAGAGAGAGAGAGAGAGAGAGAGAGAGAGAGAGAGAGAGAGAGAAGAGAGAGAGAGAGAGAGAGAGAGAGAGAGAGAGAGAGAGAAACCAGTTTATTTCCTCTGGTTTGGTTAGGCCTGCACCCTGAGAGTAACTTCCAGAATGTAAACAGGCAAAATATAATAAAATATAGACAGAGACAAAAACAAATAAAAATAAGGTATGATAACTTAAATCCTTTATGTACATATAACATGATAAAATTATTCACAAGCTGAGACACTTGACACTAAAAGAATAACATGCATATATAAGACGGACATCTTTTTGTATGTGTATACATGGAGAAACATTCAAACATATATTTTCTTGCCATACATATATGCATACATATCTGTTTATGTATGTACATATGTATGTACATAATGTACATGTATATATAATGTATTTATGTATTGTGTATGATGGATGTGAGTATATGTCTGTATATATAAATATATATATGCGCAGTTTTGTCTAAATGCATGTATGTATGTAAGTATACATATATGTGTATATGTGGATGTACATGTATATAGAATTGTGGATGTGTAAAAATATATGTATGTTTGTGTGCAGACACTTGCACACATGCACATATGCCTCAAAGAACGGACTTCAACAAGCTCAATTTTACAAAAAGAGGGGAATTTTGGGGGTCATGTGCTACTGCCAGGGACATTGTCAACTGTGGGACTGAATTTTGCATTACACAACAGTGAATATGCCACTCTGATATTATGTATAATACCCATGAATCAGCTCACATACAACAAAATAAAACCTTGTATATATTTTTCATTTTGCTAAACACACATTTGATGACATGGTATTGCAACATAGGGGAGGGAGAAAGAGTTCAAGGTAAACACGTTAAAAAATCCACATTATGGGAGTCTCAGAGAAGCAGAGAAGGTGGGGGAACATTTGCTTTAGAATTGGAAAGCTGCTGCCTTTGTAGAGTCCACTTTATTGAGGTCATTCTGTAGCTTGGTAAGTGTGTAGTTGTTAATTTATGTACGTAAGTGTGCATAAAAAAAAAAAAAAAAAAAAAAAAATCGATATCATTGAATCTTCTTAACTCTGTATTCAGAGTATGAATGAATTTTGTGAATCTTCCACCACAGAAGGTAACTAAGGCTACGGGAGATTCTCATTAGCAGATATACTTCTGGAAAACTTTCAAATGGAAATGAACATTTAGAAATTCTTGAGACGTTCATTTAATTTTTTTTCTAGGTGAAGAAAGTGTTTGCCTGTATCCATGCAAAAAAACCTCACTCCATTTTTTAAAGGTCAAAATCTGGATCTGGGAAGGGGGAACCACACCAGTGCCTCCATCCCTCTGAAAACTCAAAACGGATGGACAATCCATCAGCATCAAACAAGTTCACCTTCAACAAAACACCGCATCTGGATCAGAACAATAGTATAACACGAAAAAACAAAAGTGGAAACTCTTGGCTCAGGACCGTCCACACCAGAATCCTGTTAGGAGAAACAGGGCAGAAGGAACTACTAGAGAGGAAAAAAAAAAGCTGCAAGGAGTTTCTTCCTGACTCCCACAGGCTGCTTTTTTTTTTCTTTTTTTCAACTCATTTGGAAGAAAAGTTAGTTCAGAAATAAAAATTAGAAATTCAAACTGCATTCCAGTTGGGCAAAGAGCATTACTGTTAAAAAGTTACACATTCATATCACTTGATTTTCAAAAGGTGAACACCATTATCACGGAAATCAGTAAGGATTATCAGAGTATTTTATATAAGAGTATTAACGTTTGTGATAAGAAATCTCAGTCTACAGCTTGTTAAAAAGAAAAAAGAAAAAAAAGAAAATAGAAAAAATCATCCTCATTTCTATGTTATCATTCATACTGCTTTACTAACATGTCACATTTTAGTGAAAGAAGTAACTGGATTAAGCAGTGAAGAGAGACTTGCTGTGCTCCTGGCCTTATCTTAAAGATACCTTGCATTTCTTAGACAATTTCCTTACTTTCATCATATTTGACTTGAAGTAAAAAGAAATGATTAAATTTATTTCTTAGGTAAAAATAATAAAATTCTTCCTTGATTTAACTCGAACATTCTCCAACCTGTTAAAACTTTAATTCTGACTTGCACGATAGTAATGTCAGTCATCAAGACAATATTGTTGATTGTAATGATAAAAATGACAACAATGAGATGGACATTTTTTTTTTTTTTTTTTAAGAAAGAAAAAATCCTTGCATTTGTCAACAGTAAAATTTTATTTCAGAATCTACTCAGTTTTCAAGAACTTAAAATTGTTTGCTTAGCTGAACTTTCAGATAAAAAGTTGTACCTGTTAACGAAAGTCAGTTTCACTTATTGTTACCTTTTTTATTATGGTAGAATAACTGGAAAATGAAATCCAGCAGATCATTAATATTCTTTTTGCAGGTAGGAAAATATAAGAGTTTCAGAAATTTCTTTTCTTTTCTCTTCTTTTTTTCTTCTTTCTCATGATAAACCCCAAGGAAATGTCAAATCATTCTCTGATGTGTGTTTGTATGGAAATGTGACCAGAGTTACTATTATATAAAGATTGTGATATGTGTCAGAAACACATTTTTCTTATTCTTTTTGTTCTTTTTAGCATCTACTTTCTTGGCAGTCCACTGAATGAATAGGCTATTTCCCTTCTGAATACATTTTAATTTGATCATTCACATAGCTCACAGATTCAGCAAATCTATGTACCTAATGGCTATATCCTTTTCAATTGTTGATTTATATAAATGACAATAATCTGCAAAGATATCTAAAAAGTCTCAAAGCTAGCAATCCTAAATAAGACATTCATAACATATTACCTATTGTTCTGAAATCAAATTCGCATATACTTTGCTTAAACAAAAGCAGAGGTGACATGTATTATCTATATATCCTTATAAAAAGAAAAAATCAAGGCATCCCATAATTATGATCATATCATCAACTTCTAAACTGCCCATTGAGACAGCTAACTGCCAATTTTTTTTTTTCATTCTATCTTTGCAAACAAGAACTCAGAAATTATCAACTCCTCTGGTCACATTCTGTTTAAAACAGATTTGTTTTATGAGACATGTTGACTATAGTAGAAGGTTCTATTCTTTACAACATACCTGAGTCTGGAGTCGGGTCAAGCCACGGATCCACAAAATCTGACCCGTCCGCTTGCTGTCCTTTCCGTCCGAATCCAGCTTGTCTTCACTGGCCAGATCAGCAATGGGATCGTTTATAGGCTCCCCTGATCCATACCTGAAGCGGAAACATTTGTTTAAATTCAATGTCTACACAATCTCTTACCTAAAATGCATCTTCCAAGAGTAGGAAAAATTGCTAGCATCTTAGCATGACATTCTTCTATTCATAATACATAAATAGCTATTGACTGACTACTAACAGTGTAAAATTAAATATCAAAGAAAAATAAATTTTTTTACCAAAATTCCCATAAAACCTCAAAATAAACTGAACAAAACAAACAAATTTTTTAAAACAAATTAACACACTACTTCCCAGTCAATCTAGTAAGATATTTTTCTTCAGAACTAAAAAAAGAAGAAGAAAAATTGGGGGTACTTACGAGAATACATTCTTAGGTAGCTTTTTGGTTGGGATGGAGGTGACAACCTGTCCCCAGAGTAGCACTCCACATCCAAAGAGCAGACACCATAACCACAGCTCCAGTGACAGGGCTTGCGTTGAAAATGCCATACACCAAACTGTACTATCACAATCTGTTGAACAAAATAGTATGAGATGAAAAGTGAAGATTCTCATATACAGAGACACCCTAAATAGTTCTTCCCCATGTCCTGTGTTATCAATATATAATGTCACCACTCTAATGAAGATGC